AGCCCAAACAAATAAATAGTGCAAGAAAACATGCACTGAGTTGACACTGTAGCGTAGTTGACACTGTGGTAGCTAAAATGCCAATATATAATCCTCATTTTTCTAGCCTAAAAAACACAGAAGCTAGAATTCTATAAAATGGTAGGGAATATTGGAAGAAAAAGAGACAAAGTTGGAGAGTCACAAATTCTATGTAAAAATCTATGGCTGACGCTTGAGCTACTCATGCATGTGGCAGATTCAAAGCAGTCCAGGTAAGGACAAAATAACTGAGTGGAGATTTTAAGTACCACACAAATAATTGGTTTTGACTATCCAAGTTAATTGTCTGCTAAAAAAAAAATTTAACATTCTTTGGAAGACTATCACAGAATCAAGAGCTTCCATAACATAATTTTCATAATGTTCAGGGTACAATCTAAGCTTCTTCAACATAGAAAAAAAAAAATAAGAAAATGTGATCCATCTCAAGAGGAAAGAACAATAGAAAAATAGCACAATTATGTTAAAAAATAATAATGAATGTAAATCATTAGGTTAATGCTATCTACTGACAGATGAAACATTATTAACTAATTTTAGCTTAATAAATGTACATATTCATATTTATTAAAGACTAAAAAGTTAATTTCTTTGTAGATAAATAAGATACAGTCATCAAAAATAATTTCTTTAAATTAAACTCAAAAAATGAAAAGCAAAGGAAATAACAAAACGAAAGGCAACCTGTGCAATAGGAGAAAATATTTACAAATTACAAATGTTTGGTAAGGGATTAACTTCCAAAATATATAAGGAACTCCTACAATTTAATAGCAAAAATAAATAAATAACCCTATTGAAAATGGGCAAAAGAATTTCTCAGAAAAATACAAATGGCCAATACGCTTAGTCTTGGCAAGAATATGGAGAAATTATAAGCCTTATACACTATTGTTAGGAATGTAAAATGTTACAGCAACTATGAGAAACAGTATGAAGCTTCTTCAAAAAAAATTAAAAGTTGAACTACTACATGAT